GTCTGATACTGGAGGAAGGTTTTTAGTTTGTGTTTGTCTCTGAATTCTTTTTTGTGTGGTAAAAATGCAATTATTGAAAAATAAGTTCTAGTTGTTCTAAAAGTGACTTTTTCCCCTTTTGCTCTTAGAGATCCTTTTCTTAGAAATCAAGGTTTAGACTTAAAGCAATTACGCACTGAGTAGGAAGGGCCAATATAAAGTAAGGAGGGAACATAAAAAGCTCTGCTTCTTACAAGTATTATGTTTCTCTCTTTGGTCAAATCTAAGACCTCTTCTTATTTATTTAATCATTTTCCTCTAAAAACATACCAAGAACACTTTTTATGCTGATAAAATCATGAGAGAGAAAAAGAAAGTCAGCCTTGATCTAGAAGTGAACAACGTAGTTGGGTAAAATAAGGTATATATTGCAAAAATTAATGAAAATACGGGGGCAGTATTTCCTTAGGCATTACATGACTTTCACAGAGAAATCCCACAGCAGTTAAAGAAATGGCAACTTAACTGTGGTCATGGTCTAGATTGGCACTGTTCAATAGAACTTCTAATAGCAATGGAAATTTTTATTCTTTGCTGATTAACACAGTTGCTACTAGACTCATATGGCTATTAAGTACTTGAAATGAAATTAGTACAACTGAGGAATTGTATTTAAAATTTTATTTAAATAGCTATATATATTCACATATAGTTCATATTATCACATTGAAGAGTGCAGGCCAATTTCTGGAAGATATCAATGGTTAAAGTAGAACATGGCATGCTTCTTCAAGAAAGGGAAGTATCAGCTGACAATTAAGAAAAGCATTCAATGAAAAGAAATTATTTCAGGAAAAAGCACAGGGAATTGTGAATTGTGCTGTTTTCACAATGGAAGTGTGGAGTGTTTAGTTGGAGATATTTGAAAGTATCCAGCTTCTGGATGGGGGTTGTGATGGGAAGCTTAGCTACACTAGGGAAATCATGTGACTGATTTGAAGCTAGGTAATGGGAAATCATTGATAACTTCTCATGAGTGAATAACAGTAACTCTTCCATGTGTTAGGCATTATGTTGAGTTACTCATATGGCTTATCTCATTTAATTACTATAACATTTTGAAATGAATGGAGTTTTTTTTTAACTTTTATTTTATGTATTTTTTTTACATCATTCTTCATTTTTATACAATGTATACTTTCTCATCTTGGTTATAGTCCTGGTGAAATTCCCACCACCAATTCACCCATGTACCATCACCATAGTCCCTTGTGCTCTTCCCATCCCTGTTTTGATCCTACTCCCTTCTCTCCCCCTGCAGAATGTCTCTGTTTTATAGTTGCCTCAATTTTGATTTTTCACTTTATTATAATTACTCTCCCCCCCCCCCCATCCCTTATTTGGATCCTCTACATTCCTCCTATAAATGAAACCATCTGGTATTTTTTCTTTCTGGCTTTTTTCACTGCGCATGAGCCCTTCCAGCTCCATCCATGTTGCTGCAAATGGCATGAGTTTATCTTTTTTGATTGCTGAGTAATAGGGAATGGAGATTCATTTGTGGTGCTGGAGGGATAAGAGCTCAAAGGCAGGTAAAAGCAGCAATTATAATATTGGAAGCATATGAAAGGTAGTCATGAAGGTGAGGGATGTAGGTGTTAAAAGGTCTCATCTGTGACATTAGGACATTAAAGTCAGTAGCAGTTGATGTCTGACTATATATAGAGGGGGGATGAAAAAGGCAGTGAGACAGTCTATATCTCTAGGGATATCGATGAGGGCAAAATCCTGGGGAGCACCAACAAATCTGGGACTGATGAAGGCAGATACTTAGCAAAGAGATCTTGAGAATGCTGTAGGTAGTTGGCAATGAGAATGGTTAGAAAAGATTTTCAAGAATCTTACAGGTAAATTAAAGATGGGTATGCAGAGATGGTAAAGAAACCATTTCTTACCATCTCTTTAAGGCAATGTTGATAAAGACTGAGGATTCAAGGGGAGAAAAGTTAAATTTGGAAAGGAAATGTGGATACTGTTTGTGACATGTTGATTGGAGGTAACAAGTCCTCTGGATGATGATGTCTTACTGGCTGGGGAAAATGTGAAGCCAAAATATATGAGGCAGATCAGGGCTAGAGAGGAGAAATTGTATATGTTCTTCCAGGACAGAAGGAAAAAGGAAAAGAGAGGGTAAGGACAAAACTTGGGGCAAATGCCCACCCACAGAGTGCTAAATGAGAAAGAAGAGCCAGCAAGGGAAGAAAGGGTGAACCATACCAGGAGTCAAGGGCAAATCTTAATGGTGAAGGAGAGCCAGAATTTCCATTTGTTGCAATGAGGTCAAGGAAAAAAGCCGACTAAGAAAAGGGTGACTGAGTTTATCAAGGAGCCTCTTGGGGAAAAGGAAGGAACAAGTGTAGAGGATTTAGCTGGGCAGTTTGGCAGTGAAAGGAGTGAGAACAGAGACACAACTTGAGGAGGGTTAAAAGAGTTTCCCCCCACATAACTAGACCCATTCAACCTAGAAGCAGGAAGGAAGAACCTAATGCAAAGGGATGGAGGAAGATCTGGAGAGGTGAGACAAAGCCAGCAGGCCCAAGCATTGACTTAGGAAGGTAGAAAGATGCCTGTTCCTTTGGGTACTTGACAACAGTTCACAAAACGGATGGTATGGATATAAATACTTTGAAAGAGTGGCAGAGGGTGCTGGAGCTGAGTGTTTTTTTTTATCTTCTCAGGGCCACCTGCCAGGAAAAAGGGGAGAAAGGGAAATGGGTTATTAGGTGGGGAGGATAAAAAAGAGATGTTACAGCAACAATTGAGGTTACCTTTGAGACTCACCAAGGAATGAATAGAAGGATGGGGCCAGATTAACATGTCATGATTTCATGACTTTAAGCTGTCATCTCTGATTTACTCCTAGAATTGACTATTGTAGCAACCACTACCATCATTTATCATGTGCTTATTATGAGTGTTTCACATACTATGTCACTTAATTTTCCCAACAATCTAATGAAGTACTATCGATCCCAGTTATTTCCAAATCATAAAACAGTAAACTGCAGCTCAAAAAGGTTTTACCTTAGTTAAAAACAAACGAACAAAAAACCCGCTTACTATATTGCCAGGTACAAGTTTAGGCACAGGAAAAGACAGGAGTTGAAGAGGTACAAATGTAACAGGGTGGTCCCCAGGAAAGGGGGAGGTTCCAGGTTCCCTACCCCACCCAAGGGAGGGTGGAGCTGAGCAGGAAGAGAAGAGGATGCAGAGAAGACTGAGGAAGGAAGGAAGCAGAATGGAGCCAGGAGACCTGGAGGAGGCGCATGGAGCCTAGAGACACGTGAAGAAACTGCGTTTGTCTTTTGGTTGTGGACTGGGTGACACAGATGTGGGTGTGACCCATGGGGAGGTGACAATGGCAGCTTTTATCTTGATGTTGATTTTGCTCTTTTCCTTCCGGGCTTGTCTGGTTGTTTGTGACCCTTTTCTGTGGGTCCCCACTGGAAGATGCTTTAGACTTGTGGCAGGCTTTGGGGCCTTGTTCTGGGCTAATCCCATATGGATGGACTTTTACCCACGAGGGGATGGGTAACTTTGGGTGCTTCATTTAGAAACTAGACTCTTTGCTGTTCCTGTATTGTTTCCTAGTTTTATTAAAGTTCCTTCCCATCAAAGTCTCATATGTTTTGTGTTGATGCGGCGGATGGCAGAACCCATTTAGAATAGGCAGGTTTGCGGGGTTTGGGCTGCCCCTCTCCCTGCCCTATAACACAAACAGAAAAACAAACGAATACACTAATCAATTGATTTCAATTCTTGAAAAGTGGTGTAAAAACAGTATAGTTGGTGATATAACAGGTATAATAAATATGGTATAGCAATGGAGGAGGGAGGGCTGGGTAGCCCTACTCTACAGGGAGGTCAGGGGATGGCCCTGAGGGGACAAATGGGCTGAGACCTTTGGAATTAGAATGTGAAAGTCTTCCAGGTCAAAGAAAAGGCAAGCGCAGAGCGCCTGAGACAAGAACTTGGAAGTGTGCGAGGTTAGTGCACCCTAAGTTTAGTGAGCTAAGGGGTACTGTCCAAAATTTGGAGGCGCCACGGAAAGGCAAGCAAAGGATCTACGCAAAGGAGGTAATGCAATCCTATTCCGTGGGATGAGGCACTTAGAGGCCGGGCCAGGTGGTCCTGCTCTCCGACGCGAGTCTTTCCCACTGTGTGGAGCTGCTCGCACATGGCGCGGGGGTGAGGCAACCGGCAAGGAGCGGTTTCAGGCCGAGGGGCCCAGGCTGAGGCCCGCGGTGTCGCAAGCGCCGCGACACCACCGCCCGCAGGGCCCGCTCCCCCCGCGCCGCCGTCACAGCTCCCCGCTTACGCCCCCACACTTGCCCCCGCCCAGCGCACCATCCACCCCGTCGGCCCCGGCTGGATTTTGCACCCCGGGCTTCAAACCCGTCTCCCAAAACTTCGGAGTGACAGTGGCGGGGAGACGAAATAATTCGCCGTTGGGGCGAACGCCCACGGACAACTGCTCTTTTTATTTGATTTCCGTCTCGTTTTCCCCCCAAGGCTTTTCAGAAACGACGTGCAGCCCGGGGCGCTCCCCGAGTCACCCCTTCCAACAGCGAGACGCTTGGTTTGGCCCCTGGGCCCGGAGTGGCTGGAGACGGACGCCTCTGCCGGGGATTGGAGGACGCTGGTTCCGCGCGTGCTCCCGGCGCCCATTGGCTCGTTCTTCCGGGTTCTGGGCGGGGTGGGCCGGGACGGTGTCCACCCTCTTGTTTACCGAGCGCGCGTTTGTGGCGCTCCGGCCGCGCTGGGGCGGTCTCTAAAGTTCCGTACATAGCTGCCCGGACCAATTAGGCCCTTGCTCCGCCCCGCCCTCCCCCTCGCACGCCTTGTGCGTGGTGCGGCCCGCACCTTTACAGCGGCGGCGCCAGCGCACGCCGACCGCCGGCCTCCTCCCGCGCGCCTCGCGCTGCCCCCCTCCAGGGTGCGCTTGGTACGGCCCGCGCCGCCTCCTTCGGGAGCTGGGGTGGCTGCTCCCCCCTAGAGTCGGCGGCGCTTGGTGCCGCCCGGGAGAACCAGGTCATCGGTCGGTTCCCGTGAAAACAAAAACAATCGGCGGCGCCGCCGCGGGCATCCGAACGCGGCCGGCGGCACTCAGGGAAGTGGGGCCGGGTGGGACGAGCGGGCGGGCGCGGCGGCGACGCGCCGGGGGCCGGGGCGCCATGGGGCAGGTGGGCACGGGCGGCGCGGGGCACCCTTGGCACCGCGGCTAGCGTGCCCGCCGCCTCGCCGCTTCAGCCGCCCTCGCCGTCCGCCTGGGGGACGAGGAGCAGGACGCGGCCTCGGCCGGGCCCGGGCCGAACGGCTGCGGACACCCGGGCGCCGGGGAGCCGAGCGCCGCCGCCTCCGGGATGGATCAGTGCGTGACTGTGGAGCGCGAGCTGGAGAAGGTGCTGCACAAGTTCTCGGGCTACGGGCAGCTGTGCGAGCGCGGCCTGGAGGAGCTCATCGACTACACGGGCGGCCTCAAGCACGAGATCCTGCAGAGCCACGGTAGGTCGGCCCCGGTGGGCGCGCGGGGCAGGGCCCACCCGCTCGCGCCCCGCAGGTCGTGGCGGGCCGGGCGGGGTGGCCTTCCGACGGCCGGGCTCCCGCCTCCCCCCGGGCGCGGAGACCCCTGGACCACTGGGCTTCCGCATCTTTCCGAATTTGCCCGATCTCCCTGCTGATTAAGATATCCTTGTTAATAGGTTTCCACCTGGAAACCCATCCCGGGACTTCGGGCCCCAGCCCGGGTAAATGTGCATGGAGGTCTACCCGGGCGGGCGCCCCCAACCCGTCGGGTCCCCTGGGTCTCTTGTGGTCCACTCGGCGTGGTTCCGCTGGCGGGAGTTGCGTTCGACCCCAGAGTCTGGGTGCTAAGAGTCTCGGTGCAGGAAACCCCAATCTCTTCCCCTGTCCCAAATCCTCGGCAGGGGGTACTTAAGTTTTTCGGTTATTAATTAGAAAGTCGAATGTTAGCTGTGGGTTCATAGAACTCAGACAACTTCGTAATGTGATTACTGTGTGGAAGCAGCTCTTCTTCAACTCTGCAGCATCTCTGATGCTGATTTCTGGGAAACTAGATGAATCAAGCCGTTTAGCTCTTCCAGTGTGGCTGTTGATGAAACTGAGGAAAAACGGGCAACTCTTTCCAAAGGACATTGTGGCATAAGTTGCTCGTTAGTTGCCTTAGTGATCAAATTTTAACTTGTTTTCCTTTCAGAAAATAGATTTTCTGCAAAAGGTGTTTTACCTAGATTATTTTGGATATTTTGCCGAAGTTGATATGTGGAAACTGGTTGGAAAGTGTTTGTTTTTTATTTTGTTATTACACATAATAGTAAAGGTTTGATATCTTTGCATTGAAGTGTTCAGTTATGATTCCTGACCAAGAAGTAAAGGACTTCATTTAAATAGATTTGTTTGGAAGGTTGTGGGGAGTGCCTTCTCAACATGCAGGGGAACTGAACTTTACATAAAGGAAGTTTTGGTAGCTGGGATGAAAAGCATATGTTTGTGGCAGAGGAGCTGGGGCCATGGCTAGTCGAACTTCTTCCTCCTTCCATCCATTTCTTTCCAGTACTGCTTTCAGTTGAGAGTTTGTGCTAGTTCAAGTAAGGAAGACTTACCTCTTTTTGGATACAGCAGTCACTTTTGAATTCCAGGGAAGATAGAAACCTGCAGCGATAGTGGGGATAACTATTGAAATATTAATATGGAAAAATCAGCAGACCTAGAGTGCTGCTTGTGGAGGTGGTGTGGGGTGGGAATCCTGTGAAGCTTTGGTACATCTGCTTTGAGACCCGTTAGATCAAGCTGAAGGACTGATGAAGATAGAGTCAAAGGCTTACTGTTTACTGGTGGCTGAAGATTCATAGAGTCCGGGAGAAAAGTGAAGTCTAAGATGGTTTTCTGATGTCATCTCTATAGCAGAGCATGAAGGAGAATCGCTTAGGATGTAGGGAGGCAACTATAGAGTCTAACCACAGACTTTGACTTTCTGGAGCCTGGAGGGCAACAGAATCAGCAGAAGCTGAAAATGATAGGGGTTAAGGAAAAAGAGCTGGTACATGGCTACTCAAGTCAGGGACCCTCTGTGCTTGTAGTTTCATAGCGTGAAGACAAACCAGATTACTGGGAGTTAAGTAATGATATAAACTGAGGTGTAAAGAGCCCCAAGACTGCTTAAGTACTTGGGCAGAAGGTGTCCCTTCCTCCATTACACCATAGAGGAAATTTTTGTCTTATTAAAGGCTGAAAGGATGAGAATGGGTGAAGGGTATATACTTGGAGAGGTTGCAAGGAATATTTTCTTTTTAGGGACCAGTTTAGAGATTGAGGTATTGAATGGGCAAAGTTTGAGAGAGAGAAGAGGGGAAGTAAAATAATTTTCTTCCCTGAGAGTGAAAGAAGGTATTAATTCAAGGGTGATTGATTATAAGTCTTGTTTTAGAAAATCTGGGGCCAATTTTAGATGATAATTGTGAGGCACTGTGAAAGTAGGAATTCATTTTAGATTTTTTTTTGCTTGGTATCATGGTCTGAAGCCTATTACCCACAGAGTATGCCATGCAGTTCAAACAGTCTGACTTGGTGAATTGTATGTGTTCCTTTTTCAGCTTTCTCTTTTTTTACCCTTCTGTCTACCAAATTGCAGTCTTATATTGTTACTTCTTTAATTATTAGTAATGGGATTAAGTGACTAGAGGCAGTTGTAAAGCATGGAAGAAAAATAAATAACCATAAGTTTCATGTCTAGTTTTCCAAAATAAAATCTCTTTTCAAAGCAGATTTCTTCTTTTTTGTTTTTAATGCTTTCTACTGAGTCCCCTCACCCCACCCCTTTAATTTTTGGACTATATGATGTCTCCCCTCAGGTGTGGTCACCATAGTTCTCTGACTACCAAAGCATCCATAGTCCACCACTATATTCTCTTGGCGCGTTCCCCGCCCCACCCCCCATGGATGTTTCATTGTCTTTGACCTTTTGTTTGGTGTTTCTATATTTCTCACATAAATGAAACCATCTGATATTTATTTTTTTCCTTCTAACTTATTTTGCTTAGCATCACCCTTACCAGCTCCACCCATGTTGTCACAGATGGCATGGGTTTATCTTTTTTTGATTGCTGAGTAGTAGTATTGTGTATATTAATACACACCACATCTTCTTGATCCATTCATCTGTTTTGGGGCCTTTGGGTTTTTGCCGTGTCTGTTGTAGCTATTTTAAGTAGTGCTCCAATAAACATAGGAGAACAGGTTTCCTTTTGAATGAGTGTTTTTGTGTTCTTTGGGTAAATTCCTAGGATTGGAATAGCTGGGTCATTTGGCAGATCCATTTCTAATGTTTTGAGGAACCTCCGCACAGCTTTCCATAGTGGCTGAATCAGTTTACATTCCCATTAGCAGTGTAAGAGGGCTCCTTTTTCTCCACATCCTTGCCAGCACCTGTCAAAGCAGATAATTTCTAAAGTTCTCTGTATGTGATATGGGTAATATATTGAATCTTAAGTATGCCATCTCCGAAGTTAAATCTAATAAAATCTGAACTCGAAACTCCATTTTTGGTTGAAAGGGAAATTTTTAGGGCTTCTGAGTGTACCTGGTTGTGCAAGTGATCTGGCGACACTGTCAGGGCTTTGGATCTCAGTCTCTGGGGCTCTTTGTGGTAATGTTCATAGAAGAATGAAATATGGGTAAAACAGAATTTGGGAACCATACATATCCCCCAACATTGCATCATACTGGTGGTGAGTGATAGTTTCAGAACTGTCCTTTAGTGAAGGTCAGGGGAACGGTTCAGTTTTTGAGGATGAATTATACTGTTTTATATTTAAATTTCCTTTTCTGTGAGAAGACAGCTATACTGAGGGCAGTTTGAGGAGTTTGTAGTAGAAACTTTCTGTACATAATGGAGTTCAGTAAGTAAGCCCATTGACCACTCTCATCAGCCTTATTCCAGTTTGTGAACACTGCCCCAATGGGGGCTAGCTTGGCAGCTGGCCTAGAAATAGTTCTGTTGTGAGCCCTAAAATCTCATCTGCTCTAAATTAGCTATTTCTTTTACAATGCAAATCTTCTGATTCAAACACCTTAGACAAAATGATGGTGGTGCTCTGGTGTCACTCCCACCTGGTGAATTACCTTGTGCTCTTCCATTCAATCTGCCCCTAACTAATCTACCCCCAAGTCCCATCAAACCTATGGTAGAGGAATAGGGGTGTCAAGCCTTTGGTAGTGGAATAATTTGAGAGGAGAAGGCTCTGAGTGGATGGCATAGCTGAGTGGGGCTGGGGTTTGGTGGTATAGGAGCAACATAGTGTTCATAGAAGTACTAAGAGGCAGTAGAAAACTAGGACAAATATTAAAAGGGAGTTCTGATCCCATTCTCCTTCCTGGAGGTTTCACTCTTTATGCCTGTGGAACTTCCCTAGAGACCTGAGGGTGGTAAATGAGAGGATGGTGGGGTGGTCCAGATCCTGCAGAGTGAGGTGTCCTATGTAAGGGGATTAGAAATAAAGTAAACATCCAGGGTTGCATGTTAGGTATAACTTTGCACTCGAAAATTTGGGCTCTCTAAATATTACATATACATACTTAAAGTTATACATATACATACTTAAATATTACATATACATACTTAAAGAGCTTTAGTAGAATTAGTTTATCTAGAGAGGGAAAAGAAGAGAGGATATTCCTAGTACCAGTTTCCCAATAATGCTTTCCAAATTACCCATCATACTGTGGACAAATGCCCAGCTAAACAGGGTTGATATACATATATGTATGTATATAAAGTTCTGTGTGCTTTGCAGAACCTTTATTAATGTATTGTGTTGAATTAATGTAAAAGGATCAGGGTTTAGTGCACTAGTGGTTTACTTATTCAGCTTTATTCTTTGGTATACTTGAAATAGACTACATAGCCTGATCTCCTGATTGTTAGCCAAACTTTGCTAAATACCACCAAGAAACTCTTGAGAGAATAACATTGCGTTTTGAATTGAATAAAATTTGCTATCTGTTTAACAACTAGCCTGAAAAGTAGCAGATAAGTAGATCAGAAATAAAGTTTGTGTGGATAACAGTACCTATTGTTCAAGTACTCTTTTTTATTTTTTTTTTTAATATAGGCATGTTTTATTTATTTGTTTGTTTGTTTTTGCTTATATATGCACTGGGTACAGTCAGAAGTGCGGGAGGGTGAGAGAATTCACCAGAGCCTGAGCGGGGAGCAGAGCAGGCAGAAGGACCAAAGTACACTGCTGAGGGGAGCAGCGGGCGGCAGGAGAGGTCTGCGTGCCATGTGAGACCCTCCTCTGGTGGCCGGGGAGCAGCTGGGGATTGAACCGGCGCCGCAGAGGCCGCAGGCAGCCTCGCAACCCAGCGCTCAACTGCTGCGCCACTGGGGAGGCCCTGTTCAAGTACTCTTAAGAGGAGTTTAGACCAGTTACCAAGCTACCTGAGCGTAATAGGTCAGTTTTGGTGTTCCAGTTGGGTTTTGAAGT